CACACAGGAATAAATTTTGGTTTCTCTGCTCTAGATGTCTCTGTGAAGGCCTCATGCCCTGTGTGAAGTAATTCAAGGTCTGTTGATGAGAGAGATAAACTAGATACCTCATATATGCTGTAGGGTAAGAAACTGCACATTGGTAGCTGGGCCAGAGTAATTTGACAGAGACAAGTAGGTTTGGATAGACAAGACCAGCAAGTAACCATAAGAGAGTCTTGAAAAGCCACATGAACTGCTTGTGCCTCCAGTCAGTTCTGTGTCTACTGGGTAGCGTGTGGGATCACCTCCTGCCACAAGCCTCTGGGTGAGTGGCTTTCCCTCAGGTGCCTTGGTTTCTGCATCTGTCTTATAAGCACCCTGACAGGGATGGCTTTGTAAAGCACTATGAACTCTCCTGAATAGTGAACACTGCACAGGAATGTTTTAAAAAAAAAAAAAAAAAAAAAGGATTTTTGTTAAGGAAAGGCACAGCAAGAAAACACACAAAAAAAGATTAGGTATTGTTGAAATGTATTGACCTCATCATCAGGGTTATTCATTTTACAAAGGAGTCTTCACTACACGGAGCTTTGCTGTTCGCAGACGTTGCCTTCTGGAAGGAGTCTCTCCATCGCCAGCTCCTGCCTGCTGTTCTGCACAGCACGGCTGCCTGACCAAGCACACCACCAGACCGAACAAACACAGAACCACCGTTATCAAGAAACAGCCAATCTGCCTCCTACTGTAGCCAGGTAATAAGGGTGAAGGGAAGCCTGAAGCAGAACAAACTCTAATGACCCAGGCGCATCTATTAATTTTCTTTCCTCCTCATTTCTCTCTTTTAATGGACGGACACTGAGTTTGAGGCCAGCAGGTCTGGGGAACTCTGGATGTGGGGAACATTTTCAAAGCCTACAAAAAGACCAGGCATATAGATACTCCAGAAAAGGGGATGTTTCAGAAAGAAAAGCAAAAGCTGCAGGATCTTGGCATGGGTCATGCTGACTGGGAGCAGAATGCAGGTGGGAGAAAAGAGCTTGTTGGGAAACTGGAGGTTGCAGTATCAAGCTGGAAGGTTGCCACAGTGTGGACTAATGCTTTGGCAGCTGCAACCAAAAGGAAGGAGGAATGTAAGAAGCAACATGAAGAAAAAGTGTCAAGAGGTATCTGGAAGTATCAAGACCTGTGAGAAACAGAAGAGGCAAAGATGATGCTAAGTTTGGCAGAAGGGAGGAGCACAAGTCCTATGAGGAGAGGCTGAGGGAGCTGGGGTTATTTAGTCTAGAGAAGAGAAGGCTTAGAGGTGACCTCATCACTCTCTTCAACTACCTGAAGGGAAGTTATAGCCAGGTGGGGGTTGGTCTCTTCTCCCAGGCAACCAACAACAGGACAAGGGGACATGGGCTCAAGCTCTGCCAGGGGAAGTTTAGGTTAGATGTTAGGAAGAAATTCTTTACAGAGAGGGTGATCAGGCATTGGAACGGCCTGCCCAGAGAGGTGGTGGATTCACCATCCCTGGAGGTTTTTAAAAAGAGATTGGACATGGCCCTTAGTGCCATGTTATAGTAATTAGAGTTGGATCAGGGGTTGGACTTGATGATCTTGGAGGTCTTTTCCAACCCAATCTATTCTATGAGTCTATGATTCTATGGCAATGCTACTGACAAGGGAAAAGAGTGGAAAGGAAACAAGGTCTAGAGAGAAGGATGTGAGAAAGATAAGGCATTGCTCCGCCCAATCAGAAACACACCTCAATCTTAATATTATCTCAGAAAAACAGAAATCAATTATCAGATTTTCTTCTTCAGTTTTTTCTGGTTTTTGTTTGTTTGGTTGGTTTTGTTGTTGTTTTGGTGGGTTTTTTTGTTTGTTTGGTTTTGTTTGTTTGTTTTACGTAGGGGTGACTGCACAAATTGGGAAATCTCTGCTCTATGTCCCTCTCCACCGTGTCCTTGATGAACCCTTGTCCAGAGGAGCCTAACCTCAAAGAGAACTGCTCAACCTTACATCTGTCTAAGATGTTGCAATAGTTCCTGCAGAAATCTGCAAGTGGTCCTGTAGAACAATCTGTCTAAAAACCACATGTATCCACACAAAATTTGGGCAGATAATGTTTCACCTGCTTTGATTTAAATGCGAACATGTATTAGTCAGGATCTCAGTCTGGGCTCTGATCCCACAATCTATTAGATCCACTCATCTGCAAAAGCACAGAAAGGTTTTTAGCTGTGCTAATAAACACACAGGGCCCAAAACTCTTTAAGTCACCTGTCTGTCTGTAAAATTCCCACAGTATTAACCATTCAAACATTACAGACAAAATATAAGATGGGAAATAATTTGGAATATTTTTTAAAAATTAATTTTATTGTACTCTATTCAGAGTCTAATGCTTCCTTAAAACCAATGTTCTCGAAGACAGTAAGAGGACTGCAGTGATTATTTAGAATTGTCATTGTTATTGCTATCTTTTGGTGTTCATGTATAACAACACTAATGATTCTTTATACATGCCTGTAGCAGGAAATCAGGCAGTCTAAGAGAACAATCTTTCCTAAGTATGTTTTTGCTGTGTTGTTTTCAGTTAAAATATTTATGATGGGTTGTTTTTGTTTTCTTCCCTGTAATTATTATTTGTAAAAGGTATATTGCACAGCAAATGGAATATCTGTACACTTTCACTGTATTTTTTGCAGCAGACAAATTACCTAGAGCACATATATGTTTTTCTTCTGGTTCCCCTTATTCTATAAAGTTTCTTTCAAAAGGGTGCCTAGTACTGCTGATGCTGGAATTACTGTTAGTCACTATCAGCACTGGTGATAAACTCCAGCTAGTGCTTTGCTTAGAGGTCACTCGCAATTAGTAGTCATTGTCCTTTGAATTTAACAATGGAAAAATAAAACTTTATAGCGACAGATTAGCCTGGCCATCAAAATTACAGCACTTTAGCATTCAGGAGAGAAGATTACATGACACATTATCTCCCAGACTGATAACAGCAGATAACTAAGGATTCAAATGTGAGATGCAGAAGGTCTGCAAAAGAATAAAAGGAGAGAAAGGAGGATTAACTGTCCAGATGTTATGTGATACATTATACTGACACTTCTACACTCCTGTTTTAGTGAACTAGGCCTCCTCTTGTACCCACTGAAGGCGAGACAGGGCACTACTACCAGTTTCTGTGAGATTAGCTTTCAAACCCGAGGTGCTACCTAATTCCTCTACACACATCCCCACCTTCTGCAGATATCTGGCACATGTATGCATGACTTTAAGTCTTGGGCAAGCATGTTAATAAAATACTAATACTCAACTTCTTCACAAAGTTGTGCAGTTGACAGCTTTGTGCATATTCATTTCATATTCATACTATCTCCACCTCACATCAATTTACAAATCTTGATATTGATGTGATGCATAAATTGGTAAATCTTCCATTTTGCGTATATCATATGGATATGATAAGGATTCATGATAAAATAGACTTGACCTGTACTCCAGTCATTTTTGCAGAATTACTATGTATCAGTTTATGTGCAAGTTAACCAAGTGAAGAAAAAAAGGTTTCTAATTCCATTACAAACGATAGGCAGGATTGGGAACCAGTGCCAAACTCAGTAAATACATGATATCCTTGATACAACTGACTTTAAATGTATTTTTGGGCATGTTTATTTTAGCTATTAAGTCAAATTAACTCAATATTTAAAAAACCAACAAACAAACCACAAACCTCCCCAGCCTCTGCTTTAAAATCTAACAGGAAGCAAAGATGAACCAGCCAGACACTGGTACTTATCAAATCTGAAAGAAGGGAGTTGTCTGGCTGGATTAAAACGGATGAGGTTTGTTTGAGTGATGACATTTGTCCTACCATTGCGGAGGGGAAGAATTTTGCAGCATTTTCTTCAGCTTATACTACTGAAGATGAGAAGATTAGTCCTACTACACAAATACTTGCACGTAAAGAGAGGCACACTTTCACACCTCGGATATAGAGAGCACTGAAACTTGCATTATCTGCAGTGTCCTTTCCAAACCACTACCAACCTGAATACATTCCCGAGCTGTGCACATCATTTCTCACTTCTGCCAAGGGAGAGCTCATTCCCTGAATAGTTGATCGTTTTGGGCTGAAATTTTTTTCACTAGTTTATAAAATCCAAGTAATTAACAGTGCACACGCTTGTGTGTGTGTGGGTGTGTGCGTGCACGCACGTCCATGTGTGCGTGATTTATTTTCGTTCCCACTAATGCCTCTTTTAAACCAGACCTGGCTAGCATCAAATAAATTTACCCATAAAATCAAAGTTACCACACAATATCCGAATTGTTCCAAATGAGCCGAACTCTGAATTCCCTCCACTTAGAGTTGCCTGGACATGGAGATAAAATTACAATGATTTCTAATTTGCCATATCGAGGGCTATTGTTTTTGGAAATGTTGGGTACTTGCTAACATATAACGTTTGAACCTAAGAGGCAAAAAACCCCCCAGAGAACACAACAACAAAACAGAGTCACCGTTAGTAGGTGGAATAAAAAACCCAAATCCCAGTAATTCTGCTCCGTTTTGCCTGGGAGCAGAAAGTCCAGGAGCGGGATTTCTTGAACAGAAAATAACCTTTGAAAGGAAAAGTATTTCCAAACGTGTCATGCGGGGCTCTGTTGTTCGTTTTCTTTTATTCCCTCTCCTACTTAAACGAAGAGGAAAGAAACCCTGACAGCGGGAAGACTTGTCAGCGTTTAGCCATCCATAAAAATGTTTTTCCCCGCGCTCCTCCTTTCGCTCGCCGCCCTGGCGTCGGTCTGTCTCATCTCGCTGCTCCGCGGCCCCAGCCCCCGCCCGCACAGCGCCCCAGCCCAGCGGGGCCGGGTCCGCCAGCCGGGGGGACACGGCGCGGGGCAGCGCCGCTGCAAAGTTTGGGGCGACGGCGGCGGGACTGTCCTCCGTCCCCCCCTGCCACCCCCTCCGTCCTTCCCGGGACGCGGGCGGGAGCCCCGGCTCTTACCTGCCAGCGGGCACGGGCTGGGGTCTCGGCGCGCCGCGGACGGGAGCGGGGCTGCAGCTGCGCGGCGGCGGCTGCGGAGCCAGGGCGCAGCGGCGGCGGCGGCGGCAGCAGCAGCAGCAGCAGCCCCGGCCGGCGTCAGTCAGGCGGGAGCCGCCAGGCTGTATTAGTGCGCCGGGCTGGACCGCGGCCAGCAGCGCCGCGGCCGCCGGCCCGCCCCTGCACCCCCGCCCTGCGCCCCCGGCCGCGCCGCCCCCGCACACAACTCAGAGCCGCGCACGCACCCGCAAGGGCACATCGGCACACACGCACTTTGGCACACTTGCACGCTCTCTCACACACCGCGCACCGCCCAGCACACGCACCCGCCGCACGCCGCCCCCTCCCCGGGCTCACCCGGCCGCAGACGGCGAGTTCTGCCCCCTCCGGCGCACGGGCACCCCTCTGACAGAGTTCACCGCAAGGCACAGCCATACGCCCCCCCGCCAGGGCGGAACCCGCCCCTCGCACACATACACACGCACACACACACAGACTCACACACGCTCCTACTCGCACCCAGCCCAGCGCCCCGCGGCAGCGCAGCCCCCTGAAGCGCCGCCGTTTCCCCGTCCCGCGGCTCCGCGCTGAGGGGGCACCCCGGTCACTGCCCTGCCCGGTGCTGTGCGGGGTCGGCGCGGCGTTTGTGTGCGGCCGCCGGGCCGCTCCGGAGTAGAGCCTCCGCCCGGTGCCCCCGCAGCCGGCCCTTCCCCGTGGCCCTTCTGGCAAGCCTCCGAGCCCCCGAGGATGGACACTGCGGCCAAGCGGGGCGTGGGGCATCTTCTCCGTCCTGCGCTGCAATGGGTGCTGCTGGGGATCCCGGCCTCTGGGGATAGGGGACAAATCCCGGCTGTGGGGAGAAACTTGGACAATGTCACTGTGGAGCGGTTGGACAGCACAGCTGCAGAGGGCCTCGGGGGCCAGGCTGCATCTTTCCACACCGACTGTACAGGGATCCCATCCTTGCACAGGACTGGTCAGAGAACAACAAACTGCAATAGGCACTGGCGAGCAGATGAATTTTCTGCTCCAGAGATTATCTGTTAAGCCCTCATATTACTTAGGAGTAACCATCTCTAGGTATGTAGTGTTTTGTATTATCTGTAATAAGAAAGGGCTGAAAGAGAAATATCAGGGAAGTCAAGTAGCTTCAAGGACACTAGACATAAAAGCTACTTGAGAAACTGGGGCTCCAGGCAGTGCTAGGAATAGGCATCGGCTTAACCTGACTGTGGCTGCATTGAAGGGTTCCAGTTAAATTGCGCTGAGCCTTTTCAGGTCAATCAATAAATATGATTAAAGATACAATCCTGCTGACATTTTCACCAAAATTTTTTTACATTGTAAACATGACAGCAAAGCTAATATTGTTTGAGGAGACGTCAAAAAGCCACAATGGAATTACAGCTCCACAGCGCAAATTTATCCAAGCATGCGCGCGTGAGGGTTGTGGTGTAATAAGGAGATATACAATGTAATGCCCCAAAATATCTTTCTTTCCCACTTTGGCCTGAAACATCTTAAAATACCAGCAGATTCCCCACTGCTGTCTGGCTTCTACAGGAGACTTCTCGACAGATGAGTGGCAGAAGAGATGCTGTTATTTATAAATCACTGTAAACGTTAATAAAGTGCTGGTCACACATTCTAACTTGGCATGATTTCAGATTTTATACCCATAATGATGTTTGTTTTTAACTGAAAACATCAGATTGTAAACGCTACACACAGAGACAGTTGGGGTGGCTCGGCTGAGGTGTGGTGTGTAACTTAGTGAGGCATGGCTCTTGATCGTGAATCTGAGGGCTCTCACTCCTGGGCCTCACTGCATCTCTTTCAGGTGTTGAAACCGCTGGTTTCCCGTGCCTCTGCTCACAGTTGCTGTTACCAACAAAGGGATGGCAGGGCAAGGTGGGTCTGTACTCTTGCCGCTCTAGTGCAGAGCCTGATGTGCTATCTCCAGTCTATCTTCATTGGCAGGGTTCATTAAAATGCCAGTACTGCTACTGGAGCAATCCCAGCCAGTGGGGGATAGCAGCAGAGCTGCTGCTGAGATTGATCGTTCAGTTCCTAAAGCTTTACTTTGATTGAAGCTTCCAGTTAAATGGGCATAAACTATTTGTGAAATGATTGAATTGTATTCATATTTCTGTGGCGCCAATTTTAACTGTGCCATTATGAAAAAGGTCTAGCTAACAGAGATTAGATGGGTATATATACTACTAGAGTTTGCTATACTATAGATTATAGAGCAGTCAACAATTTTTTTTGCATACAGTTGTATCAGATCATGTGGCATGTGCACATAGGTGTTTTATTACAATAGCTGCTGGTATTACCTGTGATCTGATAAACCCTTTGAACTATGTGTCTTCTCAGGAGCAGGGCTGATATATCCTAGTCTCCTTCCCCCTCTCTCCACACATGTTTTCAGACCCATTCCCCATTCCAAATCTTCAGCATGGTTTTCAAAACCTGTATCCACTTTGTAAGGCTCTGCTCCTTCTGCCAGAGTGACTCATCACCTGTCCCTCCTCTGCACCGCGTGGGCTCTGCTAATTCTATTTCTCATTTGCTGCTATCCCTCTTGAGTGCCTCATTTCCCATCTTGCCCCTTGTAAATGCCCTCCCTTAGTCTGCACATGATGTAACTTATCTTCTCAAATCCTGTCCTGTAGAACATGGACCAACCTTCTTTAATCATAAACAAAACCCTGATATGGGGGTATTCTCCTTATTTTGGTCTGTATTTTGTCTTTTTATGCTGGATAGCTCTGTAAAGAAAATCAAATAAAAGGTTAAGTAGAAAATAGTAAAGATTGGATGTGGCTGTAAAAGAGAAGGAAGCATTCTAATTCCTTTTAGCATTAAAACTGTGTAAAACACATAGAATAACATGAATTTTCCACTTGGAGAGAACTGTAAGTTCCTAAGAGCTGTAAATCTATTGACTCAGTATGTATTGCTCCAGGGCTCCGCTGAAGTACTGGCACTGTCCTCCACCTAACAAGGAATAGCTGTTACAACAGCAGTGTCATGTGCTATGTGATGGAGATACCTCAAACAGCTCTAGTGCTGGTGCAGGCACTAGAAGACTTCTAGCCACATTATCATGGATTTACTGAGTGAGTTACATTTTCCTCAAGGGCTTTCTCCAGGCAAAGACACAGAGGCACTTGCCTCTGGCAACAGATTTTTGAGAACATGAACATAGCTGTGGTTCTGTTGCCCACTTTGCCTGTGCCAGAGCCCTGAAAAGTGAGGGCTGTTCCTGTATTGCAGGGTGGAGTCAGACATGCAGGGCAACATGTCCAAGAAGAAGCTGACTATTCAAGCAGCAGCAATCACCATTTCACTCCCTCCATAGGTGCCTGAAAAATGAGTCTAAGGCCTGCCAGGATGCCTAGCTCCACACTTTTGGCTCCCCTTTCCAGGGAAGGCCTGGGCCTGGGCCAGTCCCTCACCCTTGGGTTTGACTAAGTTTGATGTCTCTTGTGCTGTCTAGAAGCTTGGACCTTGCTCAGTTTACCCTGCTTCTTATTCACAGGCAGTTTGGATATCTCAGTATCCTAACTAACGTCCATCCAGTTTGGACACATCTGTGGCAGGTTTAAAAATAAACACTCAAACCATCAGGGAATCTTCTGTCACACCTCTTTTCCAGCACCAGCAGGATGAAACATTTGCTCTTTACAAACATGTTTCATGCTACTCGCATCAATTTTCCTGAATGTTTGTGGCTTAAGATGCTAATTCTCGGAAGAAAAGCAGGTGGAAAAAGCAGCTGCAATCTTGTGCAACATGTTGGTGAATGAGGCATTGCAGAGATTGTGCTGGGCAGCTGAGTTCTCTGTTCCGTCACAGCAAAGGCATTACAATTGCTCATCTTACTGCTCTTTGCTTCAGACTCTAAAAGTGAAGCTATAAATCTAGACAGACAGAATAAGGAGGTAGGCAGGCAGGTTTGGAAATCTGTGCCTAAAGGGAGAGAAGGAAAAAAGGGAATCCTCAGTAGAGTGGATGTGTAACAAGGATCACCTGAGAAGACTGTAAAACAATAGTTCAGAAATACTGGGAGCCACAGAGGTGACCAGGCTGAGTGGCTTCATGTACTGCCACCAGGATGTGGATTCTGACCCTTTTCGATCAGATGATCAGTAAGATCTAAAATCTATCATTTAGCTTCTTTTCATGGCACTTTTCATCTGGAGTTGAAAGAGGTGTCATGAAGTGAATGAGCATACTGTGTTATGGACAAATGAACTTAAAACAGTCTTGGTAACTTTCAATTAGTAGCCGAAAAAGACTCAGGAAAACATTGGCCAGGTTACTACAGTTTTCAGAAGTGGAAAGGATAATTTCCTACCCAGAACTGTAATTGAGCTAAAGATTTTTGTTAATGTGTGTATGTAAGTACCTGCCAAAGCAGTTGCACAAGAATAAAATCATATTATTTGTGATTAAAGATTTTGGGGCCAAATTTGGCTCTGAGCTAAAATCCCATAAATTTTAAGGCATTCCAGTGAAATTTGTCATCATTGTATTATACCAAAGCTCTATAGACTCCCTTGTTTTGTTTTGTGTTTTTTTTTTTTTTTTTTTGGTTCATGTACAAAGGCTTGGCTTTAATTCACCAAACTTTTTAATGCATTGAGATCCAGCTACCTGTCTTGTTATTCGTGCTGGGTTTGTTTTCTGCTGCAGAGAATAAGACTCAAGATGCTCAGAACAATATGATGGTTGAGAAGCCTTTTTACTCCAAGAGATATGGATTGACCCCAGACTAGCTGAGTTTAGTTTGAAGTTCAAGATCTTCCAGTTGATGGAGTCAGTTACCTCCTCCTCGAAACTATGAGACCATATGGAGGAAGAGGACAGACACAATCTACTTTTGTACTTTTTGTTCCTTTTGCATAGCAATGTTGATGACTTAGTAAACCTTAGAAGGTAAATTCTAGAAGGATTCTTTTTAGCCAGCATTGTGTGTAATAAATCACTTCCCTGATCTTTGCTTGACCTGGATGAAATATTTATGTGCCTCTGGCTCAGCTGGCATTGGCTCAA